TTTTGCAAATAATGTCACTAGAAAACAAATAATATGGTATATATTTAATATAAAATATTCAGAGGTAATTAATTGCAAACCTCGTTACAGTTGTATATACATGAACATACGAAAACTACGACTTTTAATACGCATTTTAAGTTTTTTTTAAACATGGCGCAATAATGAGAAAAATCTGAAAAATCTGAAAAATTCAGAAGATAGCTGATTTTTAGGGCAACATTTGAGAATTTTCTTGTGCACTCGGCAGAATAGAAACTTTCTTTAAAAACATTCCAAAATGTCCAAATCAATTTAAAAGTTTGAATTTCGTGATCAATAAATTTTTTATTATCAAATCAATATTATTTAAGAAAAATTAAGTAAATTTCACATAAGGGAGCCATATTTTTCGTAGAAAATCATACAGATAATTCAATGAAAAAAACAAATAAACAAAAAATCACGTTTTTCTTTATTGGGAGGAATCTTAAAGTACGTCAAAAATGTTTTCCGTGGTCACAATCCTTAGGAAAAAAATATTTTCAATTTTAAGCGAGGGCACTTTTTACCGTCTTATTCGGATAGAGCTTTTCTCGAAAATTCAAAACTTTTGGGTAATAATAAGCTTCAAAATAGATGTTTTGAGAAACGCCCAAATCACATCTCAAAAACGGTTCCAAATATTTCAACGAAAATTTGTACCTAGGGCCAGGTTTTACTTTGTAATGTTCTGAAAGTCATATTTCAATTTTACCACTAGGGGACTGAAACATTGAAAAAATGCGAAGAAATGTACTTTAGTTCAATAAATGGGAGCTGACAGGAAGTGGTGTCAAAACCTAAGAGATATCTCAGACTAAAGTGATAAGAAAACTAACTGGTTCGAATAAGTCTGCGCCATGCTGTAGCTAGTTTCATAAAGTGCATTAGATGCTTTTAAGCACTACCGAGTTCTAGAAAAGCGTTTTCAGTGGACATCTTTAAGATTATATTTTATTCATTTCAATCATTGGCCCATTTGAATGATTTTGAGCCAAGCGAACGCTAATTCTACTCACTAAGATGAAAAACTAAAACAATAAATTTGAAAATTGAAATTAAAAGCTGAAATCTAAATGTGAGTTGTGAGAACTGGAAATAGCATTGATGCAGAAATACAGTTTGCTCTAGTGATTCCCAAAATATCTTGTTTAGTCCTTGCCGTGGGCTTCTCAAATCGTGCCGAATTAAAAGTGAAATGTATGTTGCTTCAGAACAAGAGTGCCTTGTTAGCGTAATACGGACATTCGATGCTGGTAGGTACCATAGACTCAGTGTGTGAGGATGAAACCTCAAAGTGGCGGTGTGAGAAACAGTCGATGAGCTGCCACACGTTTTATAAAAGGAAGCAGAACTCAATGATGATGAAATTCAATCGTGAATCAAATTGGCTGATTTTTTAAACTGCATTTTTTATATGACAAATAATATATACTGAATAAATGTTTATGCAGTATTCCTAGGCATTATTGTATAATATTTCATGATTCAAGATAAAATTGAGATGTAATGCAAATTAATGTAAAGAATGATTACATTTCAATTCCCATTTAATATTATATCTCTAAAAAGCAGCCACCATGAAAATCAGTTTTTCAATTTTAATACATCACTTTCTCGTATATCATTATTTCGAAACGAAATATTTGCGATTCTTAGCATTTCTGTACTTGACTTTGCTGCATTACTAAACAAGCTTAAAAATCGTTTGAAGAATACATTCGAAGGTGTTTTGGAATTTAGAAAATGAAAGTGAATACATCAAAGTCACTTTCTTAATACATTGCCTTTTGAGGTGCAAACATGTTTTGATTTTGCCGTAGTAGGTGATAATATTTTCGTACCCGTTGTTTGGGTAGTATCAATAAAAAATCTAATAAGCTGTATTTTATAATAAGTCACTTTCCTGTTTTTCCTACAAAATCCAGTTCCTCAAGAGGAAGAGTTGATGAATAGAAGATACATGTTTTTGGAAGATGGAAATTTAAAATACCCGTGAAAATATTTTTCAAGTTTCAAATACGACTCAATAGTGTTTTTATCTCTTATTTTAAATATTTAAAAAAAAATATACTTAGTGGCAGGTCTTGAAAAAAGAGAAGAAAAACGTATTTTACATAGCTATGTTCGACGCATTGTGCATCTCCTTCAGAGCAGTAATATGGAGTACAGTAATTAATTGCAAAACTCATAATTTTCACCATCATCACTACTCTTGATATAATTCAACAGTTATAGTCAGAGAAATGTCTCGTATCCACGGAATAAAAAGTATGTTGAGTTGCTTAAAAGCAGAGGCAATGTCACACACATGTTACACATGTGTATCTTCGTCATTCGAAATTTCTCACCTAAAAACGTGATCATCTTCGATCCCTCTACATGCACCATAAGTTTGAAACAATTATTCGGAGACTTTAACGTAAAGGAACAACCAATTATAAGACTTTTTTAGTCTAGATTTCACGGAAGTGAATATTTTCTTTTGATTTTTGCCAAAATCGCTGGTTGCTACCTGCATTCATAATCCAACTTAATTTAAAATAAGAGCTATGTTAGGGGCTCAAGAAAACGCACAAGAAACGCACCAACTTCCCCTTAGTACGTCACACACATACGTACGTTTTTACATGTTTTTTGACGATAAATAAATCAAATACCATTATACTAACGAACTTCATCATATCTAATCCCAAACGTCAGGGCAAGCCATTATTGATAAGTCAGAAAAATCTCCTTTTCTCTCCTTTCTCACAACCTACAGTTTAGAACCGAATTTTTCTAAAGAAGCGAATTAAACTGAATTTAGGAAATTGGACACTGAACTTTCGTGGTGGAGAATATACTCAAATATAGTATGACAATATTTGTAAAAGGATATTTCTTTTAAGCATTATTATTAGTTTTCTTTAACCCAGTTGGTTTTTAAATTTAACGCTGATATGTTATTTTCTACTTTCTGAGGTAAAATAATAGAGAAAAATCTATTTACAATAATATGGAATCTTGATTTAACCTGATTTACAAAGTTTGCTTTTAGATACGTAAAAAATTGCACAAATTGCATAGTAAATATGCATTAAAAAGTTTCAAACATCTAGTAAGGATTTCATCCGTATTTCAAACGTTCCTTGCAAAAGGCTTTTGGAAGTTCGTGTATGTAAAACCCGTGTGTTTAGTGATGTTACGTTTGAAGCTCTTTGTGTTCTTTGGCGTCGTGTTTGACTCTGCAATTATTTTAAGAAACGATAGAGAGGTGATGTGAAATTTATAACATTCCAATGAAAGTGGATGAATAAAAGATGATAAACAAAAATCGTCGTGAGAAAGGGAAAATATTTGTACTTGGGTTCAACACTATATTCTATCCAATCTGTAAGGAATTCAAAAGGGACACGGGGATTTACGAGAAAATTACGAAATGTAACACAAAGAGTACACATTTAAATAAAGAACTTTTGACGCCGATAATAACAAAAAATCGTGCGCAAATGTATGTGAGTATGAGAGAGTAAAAATATATTATTGGAAAGAGTAATAAGAAGTTTTGTGACTGTTAATATGAATTATAGTTATTATTTATACACTATAATAAATACTACAATAAATACTATAATAATATATACAAAAATAGTTATACACTATTATAACTTAAATTTTGTTCCAAAAGTAATGTGTCACATTTTTTCTCACGTTACTAACCGTCGTAGAGCGTTCTCGCCAGTTGTGATAGGTGGGGGTGGGTTTTACCATGGGGCTATGAATATAGGGAGATAGCATGACCTCACAAAGTTGAAGCTACTGATCCGCCATATTGCAGTGCCCAAAACGCTTGTAGACGTCATCGTGTTGAGGTGTGTTATTTGTAATAATTTTTAATATTTAAAAGCCTTGATCAGATTAGTAAACTTTTGTAAACGTTCATGGTTACATGGAGAAAGAAAGATAGAAAGAGAGAGAAATATTAGCAATTATTCTAAGTCATAAAACATGACAGCTGGAATGAAATACCTTGAGTTGTATTTATTGGTTTAAAATAATTATTTATGACACGAGTAGTAAAAGTGAAATTTTATTTTGTGAGTAGGAAACTAGGTCAATAGGTCGAGTGGCGTAATCCTAGGAGCAAAATAAAATCACTTTTACCACGTGTGTCATACGCTATTTTTTTAGACAACCTTACTGACTTACCTTATATTTTAATTCAAGTACACAAATATATTAATGATATAGTAAGGTGAGTAGTAGCCATTGCGGTCAGAAGAAAGTATTTTGATTTCTTTGTTCCATTCACATATTTATCTGAACATTTGAAAGTCTCTCATTTGAGTATTACTGCTAAATATTGAACTGTTGGCTCGCTATGGATCCCCTGAAAGAAAGGTTTTTAATAGTGGCTGCCCAAAATAGTAGTTGTTTATAATGTTAAGCTTTATTGCATGAGTACACGTTGAAAACGAGCGACGTTAGGAGCGTGTTTTCAAATTTGTACGAATGCAATAAAGCAACATTATAAACGAGTTGCATACACTATTTTTTGTATAACAGCATTATTAATTTATAACAGAATCAAACTTAATTTTGCGAAACCATTTCTTGTAACGTCTCATGTATTTGACATCCTTGCGAGAAAACAGTGGTCGGCTGTTCCGTTCACCGCTACCTACGCGTGATTTCCTTATCTGTCCCTCATTTCCTAAGTTTGATTAATTACTTTACATCAATAAGAAAGAGCTAATTTGAATCAATTTAACTTTGATAATGCCCGAATTTGTAAGTAACTAATAACATTAATTCATTTAATTTTGATAAGTAATTAATTTACCCCACTTTTTTTATTGATACATTAAAGCACTTCAGATAAAAGCATATATGAGTTTAAAGTTATCGTTAATTAGGTAATAAAATTGTTTCTGTAAAACATAAATTGCAATGTTTAGGGTTGTTTGGGAATGATTACTCGTATTATGGATATTTACTTTAAGATACTTTTGCTTCACATTAATATCATAGTTAGAATAATCTAATTTTCTCATCGAAAATCCAGATATTCTAATATATTAAATAGTATTCAATATTGTTATGATGTTTAAAATTATTTGATAAGATAGTCTTAAATCAATCTATTAATTATGTCATTTTACTCTTAAGTAGATTGGGTAGATTAAAAAAAATATGTGTTTTTGAGGACAATGTATATTCGAATTTGTCTAAGTCAGGTATACTCTTTAATTTAACCTTACGTAATTCCCGGAATGAAAAAACTAGAAGAGCAAACATCACAAGTATATTTGTTAATCCTGATGTAATATAAGGGATTGGTTGTGGCAACAGCGCGCCATGCGGCAGAAGGCACCAAGCTTCCGGAGCAACAGGACGCGAGAAGGCGTATACATGCTCCTCCGTATGATCGAGGTCGCGATGTCGAAATCCCTGAAGCACTGTTATATTATGGAACTATAGCGTCGTGAGGTTATGGCTTGCCATGATGTCCCAGTCCAAAAGTTATGGGCTCGGGAGGTCTGTGGTAAACAGCTCTCAATCCATTACAAAACGTATTTGGCGTTCTCTACCCGAGAGAAGCTTTCAAGTTATCACACAGATATATGCACTGGGACAAAACAGTGAATAGCGACAACTTAATTTTTGCGCGTTCCGAGAATCGAACACAAGGCCGCGTCATGGAAAGCGAACAAACAAATTTTAAATTTCACGCAATCAAATTCAGTACCAAACTTGGCAAGATCCTACATGACGAGCCTTGTACGAAAATTCAAAAGGTATTTGGAAATTATTCTTTGACCAAATCCCCGTCGAACAGTTGGCACAAACTGTTCAAAGAAGGTAAAAAGACGACGCCAACGAAGGCCACTCTGGACGCCTTTCAACATCATGTGGTGACGACACTGTGGATGAAATGAGCAAGTTTCTGTAAATTCAGAAACGAATGAGTGTTTTCTTGTTAGCTGAGCCAAATTTTACATTATAACTGAAGCAGATGGTCAACTACAACAGGAGCGAGATCGTGAATACCTGGACTACGCCAATGCACCCCGCTATGTCTTGTTCGTCTTCCCTGAATCGGGGTTACAACGGTACCCCTGCCATATTACAGTCCCGACATGGTTCCAACAGACTTCTTTTTGTCGTTGAAGTTTAAATGACACTGTACACATCAAAATAACTGGAACGATGTTTACAAATGACATCCCAATTAAGGTCTTCCTAAGGGCGTAAATCGTATAAATATTTCGCAGGAAAAATGCATTTATTCTGAAAAGTCATACTTTAAAGAATTTTAAATCCTTATACCAAACTGATCAATAAACTCTGTAAAAATATGACGTGTTACTTTTAAGGCAAACATTGTAAGACTACGGATCTTGCAAAAGATTTCATTGCTCTCTATAAAGTAATTATGAAGATTTTTCTTGCAAGATTAAATTAATTTCATCTGTGTTTCGAAGCCAAAACTGTTCAAATTTTTCATAATTCTACTTACGTATTAATTGTGTGAGATACATTCGTCACGTCTCTCGATTTTGAACAAAATATTGCATTTAAGTAAAGGATCTTCTAAAAGGTCTCTACCCTAAGTGTGCCAAGAACGTCTATTAGATTTAGCAATCAAGGCCTTCTACAATCGAATAGTAACTATTCCATACGTTTTCATAACATCTTACAGTGATCTCCGAATTACTACAGAAAAATTGGCGTTTAGCGAAAGATGTAAATGAATTTACACACTAATGTTACTAAAAAATAGTTGGCTTTTTCAAAGTGCCATTTTAATAAACAGTCAACCCATCTTACAATCAATTTGTAAGGAAGCAGAAGTATTCCTAAATAGTATCATTGCAGTGAATATGAGAAAGAAAGACTTGCTTTACTCGAGATAGACACTCTACTTAAGGAGCATGAGGATTTCGCCTTTCTCTTTTCAGGATTAGGTATTTTCAATTGAAATTTTAATTGTCATTAACTTATATGTATCATTAACTGCATCATGACACTAACTCAGCAGCATACCCTAAAGAGTATTTCTTGGATCTTGCCCAACAATATTCGAGATTCTCGGCTGTGGTGTCAGCACAAGCGACGCTCTACGTGACATACACAAACACACGCACGTGCAACCTGGGTCATGTTCACAGAAGGACGTATCAGTCACGGGCACATGTGCCGATCAGCTCTCTTCTTACAACAGTATTACATCCACGTTTACGTTGCGTTTTGAAGGGAGCAGTTTTATATTAATTCGAGCTAAAAATAAAAATCGTTGAAATTCGATACTCATCTCGTCCGAGTTAATACTTAATTTAATTGAGATGTAAACATACACATATATGAGGTGACACACACATTGCAAATTTGAGGGGACAGCACAGGGCCAACGTGAAGAATATTTTCATAGTAGCGATACTCTTGAATTAAGGGGATGAGAGTAGAGGCGGTGGATGACTAATGAACTGTTATTCGTAAGTTCATGGCCTGTACATTCCAGGGAGAGAATTATTACAAAGCTAATTACTACAATAATATTATTCGTTTTGTTTATTATGGCTTTAACTTTTATCATTTACCTTTAATAAGTTAACATAATCTTATGTTAACTTCTTAAAGAAGTCTAAACAGAATTGTTTTATAATGAGAAAATCATGTTTTATGAGATTGATTGATTTAGGATTTAAGGGAACTTCAACAGCTGTGGTTATTGGGGGACCGTAATTGGGAAAACCATATCCGCCACTGCACATCTGCACAAGGCGATTCATTCATTAAGCAACTTCAAAGGCGTCTTAAAGCTTAATAGAGTTGGCCGCAAGGGCTGAGCGGTAGACACAATAAGAGCAATGACGGTTGAAGCAAGGTTACGTCCACGAATGCAATTACGTTTGAGCCGGCGAACGTTGTGGTGGTAGCAAACATGTCAGTGTCGGAGAAGACACATAAACTGCGAGACGACATACACGCGGATGAAGGTTTGAAGAGGGAAAGTACCGTTACGACACGTACTACATAATACATGCCAAATGGTGGCTTCAATTTATGTTACTTTTCAGTCGATACGTTTAGTAATAAATGTTAAATATCGTATATCCAGGAAATGTATAAACCATTCTTAACATTTTTATGGTTTCTTAGTTAATTTCTGTGTCCTGAAACAAAACATTTAATGGAATTAATAATACCCTTGTGGGCCTTTATGATTATTCATGCCCGTGTCGGCCTTCGAAATACTTTATACATGCTCCGCTACCAACATAACAAGTAATTACTAATGTTTTATGAATTATAATCTCTTTTTCTTCTTTCTCTTTTTTCCGAGATTTTTCTTTGAAATAAACATTGTTCTCCAAAGTGAATTCTTTCATTAAGATCATATACATTTATTTGAAAATTTCATTTTTTTTCGCGCAATATTGCGAGAAATAAGTGTAATTTTAAAAAATTGCAAAAAACAAGATTCTCAAAAACGGTTTGAAATTGTTTCTTCAAACTTTTCGAAAGGATAGTGCTAATTGCACTCTTTAATATTACGTAAAGTTCACTTCGGGCTTTTTTCTTTTTTTTCGAAAATTACAAAATTATTTTTTTGAAAGATTCCTGAAGCCGGTAATATGCACATTTCTTGTAATTTGTAAACACTATTTTATTTGTGAGTTAATGTACTTTAAATGACTTCAAATGAAGTTTTTCGAAAACTCAATATTTTTTTGTGAAAAAGTACTTTAAATTTTGAAATTACTATAGCACTGAAGTGCCATTTTCTTAAAAACAGCTCCAAATTTCTCTACGAAAATTGCCATTTATGACAAGGTATTTCCGTTATTTATATTCTTAGAACAATATTTCCTTTCTACTATTAAAAAACCGAAAAATTAATAGAATTTTTAAAAAAAATGTACTTTGGGCAGCGATAGATGGCCGCTGACAAAAGTATGTGTTCGTAAAGCTTGCCAAGAGCGAAAGAAATAGAAACCAAATGCGGGAAAGTCTGTGCCATTTTGTAGCGCCTCTAGTTGTGGGTTAGTTTTATGAGTTATATTACCGAAAAATTTGTGCTCTTAAAATTCGCTCGCCCAATTTGCGGTTCCAGCGAGTCTCTTGATTATGACGTCGACGGCAACGGCGATGGCGGCGGGAGAGATGGTCGCGGGCAACTGCAGGTGGGAGCAGGCGAGGCCGCGGAGACACGTCGCCGCCGCGCCGGCGCGCTTGGCACTCGCGCACTGGCTCCGGCAGGCCGTTAAAAACGCGAGCGTGATACTAACCTCGTTATGCGTGTATTTGCGTCGCGGGCGAGCGCTCTCCGCGTCTCGCGTCTCTTTGCGCGTCGCTGCGGCGTCTCGCTAGTGCCGGCCCCGGCCACGCGGCCTCGCGGCGCGACGACCGCCCCGCCTATGCGGTAACACTTCCCCACCCCGCCCGCCCCAGCCGCCACTGCCGTCACCGCGCTGCTTCGCAGATTCCGTGGAGCGCGCGAGGAAGGCAGTTAAGCAGAGTAAGCTAAGACATACAACAAGGGACAGGTCGGGGTTTGTAGTTTGGAGATTTTTTTTGTACGGCTTTTATCCAGCCGAAGTTCGATTACCCTTAGCGTCCCGATGGGATGCATATTCGACTATAAACTATCCATCAACACACTCGCAGTCTCCTCTGATCTGGGGGTCAGCAGAACGTGAGCCCCTCCGCGACAACACTTAAATGAGAGACAAGGGACAAACAACCATGCCCAAGACTGGACTCAAACCCGCGACCTTTCGGACTAAAGAGCTGAGCCGACACACGCTCTTAGCCACCTCGATCATCCAGGTCGGCGGAAAGTTTTTTTGATATTTAGATATAGCGGGAAAATTAAGGATGGAGTGGCTTTAATTTTATTATATGCTATTGGTTCATATGCAATTTCATTATTTGCTTACTTGATTTTTTATTTCAGAATTGATGTCAGTTGAGATGAACAGATTTTACAATCGCTTGTCAGGGTTCTTAATACATTTTAATACAAATGTAGAATGTTCTTTAAGAGGTAAAAATGATAACTCTAACATTGTATTAGATTAAATGTGTTAAATTTGTTTCACACATTAGGTTACTATCACGGACTCGAGTATTTTCTTCATAAGAATTAGAGAAGGAAAGCAAGATGAAAATATAATTTAATAATTTATTTACAATAGCTTGCGATTTTTCAGTATTGTTAAACCATACACGAGGGAGACAAAACCGATTCGAAAGCTCTGGAAGTGTATCAATAATTTTTGACAAAAAGTTGCAGACAGTACAACCGCAAAAACTGGAGGAGGCACTCTCCTGACATACTTTGTTCAAGGCAATGCATTTTAAACATCAAGTGTTTAGTTTTAAATGAAAGAAGAAATAAAAGGACACTAGTCGTCTCACTGTGAACTCTCAATAAAGTTATATCGCATTTCAGGGCCATTACTTACACAGTAAACAAGAGAAAATGCCCACAACTTTATAATTCAACGATTGGAGCAAACTGTTGAAACCTACTGGGTAGTGTTACAAGGATTAGGGCAATACTACAACAAATAAAAAACACTGAGAATTGAAATAAGTTTCTTATAGGATATTATTAGGCACCTTTATGGCAAAACTTTAGTGACCCAGAATCGTAGAAACGATGAAGGAATGGTTAAAAAATGTACTCATTTTGAAGATCGAACTTTTAACAGAATGCAGAAAGTTGAAAATATACCATTTATTTTTCTTACAAATTTACCTTGCGTTTCTCCATTCCTGTTTCTACTCAAAGGTTTCAAGAAAACTTCCAGGTGAGTTTCTTGAAAAAATATTCATTCTGAAGAATGTTTGTTGCTACGTAATACTTCTTGTATACTTTTACTGTACACCGCGTAGTTTCGTTTGATTATTGCAGGTATGCGTAAGTGTTGCCAGAACGATACTAAAATGAAAATGTTTAATCTCTTTCAAAGTACTTAAGGTGTTCGAATACTCAAATAACCGAAAGAGTATTTTCATATCGAGTGAAACGATTTATATTGAATTTTTGTAGGCCTTCGTATAACATTATCTCACACAGTAAAATATTTAAATCCTCTTTTTTCGAAACGACTTACCCTTTCCGAAAATATAAACGAACATTTTAGGCAATTCAAAGGAAAGTAATTACAGAAAGAAGTATATGTAATTTTCAGAAAAATAATAGAACAGAGGGAAGCATAAGTAACTTGACAAAAATGAATTTTCGCAAATTTATTAATTTGAGAAGTGTTTAAGTAATAACACTAAGGGGAGAAAAAGTAACTGTATATAAAACATTACCATTGGTTTACTAAACGAGCTTCAGAATTAAAGAAATTCAGTAATTTAAGCATGAGTCATAATACAGTCAATTAACTTACTTATCTTTTTAAGGAACAAATTTGTATTTTTTCTGGGACCGAATTCCCGTTTGTGAGACTTTATATCTAACAGGACGCAGACAACGCACGTTAAACGAATGCAGTAGAGAGTCACTTGCCTCATTGAGAGCATTAATTAGTGTTACGGCCAAGCAGCCGTCCTGGAAAGGGTAGGCGTAGGTAGAGTTTCACGGAAGCAGCTGGCTTCATAGCGTCATCGCTAACACAGCAGTTGAAAATCGTGAAATGAATAAACCTATTTCGTAATCATCCTTTTTTGCTTCTAAAAGACTGCGAAGATATTGTTAAACAATTTGTTACTCTTTTATGTTTATTTTTCTGTAAAACCATAGTGTACTTGAAGGCTGCTGTCACCGACGTATTTATCGCTATAAATAGTTACTGAGCTTTATTAAGATCTGGTTCAACTATAATTACTCTCACTTTCCGCAAATGTAAATTATTTACATAAAATATTACCTGATGTTTCTTATGTCTTTTCATAAAGTCCCGCTTTATTACTAAACAACAATTGATCAACAAATTATATTTTTCCATATCCTCCAGACGTTTCTGTTAATGATGAATCAAAGCGATAAACGTAGCAGTTGATTAGTAAAGCCGCAGAAAAAACCAAACCTTGTTTGGATTCAAATGTCGAAAAAGTCAAATTTATGAGTTATTGGGATTGAGGTATGATTAACGACGGCAAATGCAGGGAGCGGATAAGTTCTGAAATGAACTACTGAGCACTTCTCTGGAATTCAAATGACCTTCTGAGTGTATCAGCAGCGTTTCGTTTCTGGTAATATTTGCGTAGCGCTTTCAAGACAAATAAGCTCCGACAAATTGCGAAAATGCATTCTCTACGAATATCTGTGATTTTGATGCCGAAACTGTGCAGGCATTATTGTATTGGTAATATGAAGAAAAACGAGATATTACTGATTTTGTACCCCTATTGCAGATCTGTATTAATTACTATCTTAATTATACAATGAGCTAAGGGTCTAATGTTTAGTACTAATTGTGAAGGACCCATAGAACAGAGAGGTGGTTAAGGGCTCATTTGAAAGCTTGGGGAGCGGGTTAATCATTAAATATAATCCAATAATTGTACTTTCTATTGTTATGTTACATACGACGTGACGGAGACCTGGGGTTAAATATAAACTTGACGTGTTTTATTACCTCTGTTTACAAAAGGTTGTTTTTTACTTAGCGTTTCATAAATAAAGTTCTTAAAACACGAAGAAAAATGTGGGGCAAGAATTGACGTGTGACTCCACAGAAGTGATTTTCACCTAGCGTTTAGTACAATCCCTTCCTGCGAGGCCAAGGGCCCGAGAGTGGCGACGCCGCTGCACTCACCTGAAGCAGCGTTTGCAGCGCGTGGGCCAGCGCACCTGCGGGTGGAAGCCCAGCGGACACAGCGGGTCGCCCTTCACCGCGGGGTACAGGTGATGCATGCTGCAACACACGAAACAGCGCTGTCACTGCGCGCCGCTCGCAGGCCGCAGGCCTCCGAATCACACCGTCCGCACGCGCCGCTTGTTTTGGCCCCTAGAACGCATGCATTTTAAACCCCCTAGACAGCATGAATGTTTTAAAATTTATTTAACGTAAAACACTTAAAACAGTGTGTGACGTTCTACGGGAAAAAGTGTATTCTGTGCACGTTTCCTTAAATTCTGAGATTCCTACCCTATCCCATATTTAATTTGAATTCTGAATATTGATAGAAATGCGCCTTGGTCTTTGGCAAGAATTGATAGCAAAAATTCCCTCCGGTAAAATAAAAATTATATACAAAAGGAAATCAGATACAGATTTTGGCTATTATCTCTCGTGATCTTCGTGAAGGAATCGACATCCTGCGTGAGAACACGGAGAACGATAATTTGAATATCTATATTTCCCACAGAACTCTAAAAGAAGTGCACAGAGAGAGAAGTTACATTTAAGTACAGAAGCAAAACAAGGGGGCCATCTCCGCATTCGCTCAAAGAATCAGGGAAACTGGACGAAACATCTGACCGAGATGGGGGTCATTGACCTCGAAGGTGAGGATTAATATTTGTTACAATTTGTTAAGAAATGGTAAACAATACATTAAGTACCATTGTTAAAATTAATATTAAATAATTTTTTGATGCTCGGTATAATCTCTAAGTGTATAGAAACAGTTACGTTACACACCTTTGTATAGAATTTAATAATTTAACTTGATCTGTCAAGGTGTTATAAAATAATATACATGTATGTGAATTTTTTTAGTGAACTTTTGTTACTGATATCTGATAAATATGATTACAACGTCGAGTGTATAATTATAGAAATCTGTATTTGCTGAAAATATGTTGCCACTCGTAAGTCATTTTTGACAAAAACCTCTGACTAGTATGTCAAGAGGCAAGGTAATGATAGAATTCGTATCGTACTAAAGAGCGGCTTACAGGAATCACGTGGGTGACACGCGGCAGTTTTAGAGACTTCGTGGTCGAGACGAGACGCGAGGGCACTGCTACTACCTGCTACCGCTCTCGGATGTACATGTTGATATTCAGTGTGTCTCAAAATGTTCGAAACTTTCAGGGCAAACGCGAGAATAGGATATACATAAGGTATAACACTACGTAATAATACTTTTAAGTTTTCCACATGTGTTAGTTTTAACTAAATTATTTTAAAAATGTGTTGTATTATAAGTACAATATGAACATACAAAGTCAGAGAGGGTAAAACTTTATAATTAAAACGTAAAATTTATTTTAAAAAATGGTGAAAATGTATTTCTTGTATACATATATGAATTTGAAGAGTTACAAGGACTACGAACACTTCTTTGGCCAATAAAAAGTTTTTTATGAATGACCTTGCCAATTTACAAGCGTAGCTTTAGAAATCTTGGGAATAGCAGGACGTACAAGTTGTGGCAGACCAAGGAAAAATTATAATTTGTAAGTTGAAAGGTGTCTGATAAGCATCACAAACGTTGAGTAACTCTCTGTTGATTTGCATGTGTGGTTTTGGAGAGGTTGAACCGTGCATAAAGAGATGGGGAAAGAACTCAACTTTAGGATTTGCGGAATAAAAATAAACCAAACAAGCGTTTGTGATGGAACAGAACGATGGAAATCGGCCAAGATAAAGCGAATGTAGGCAGTAAAACTTGTTTTCTAAAATTGAAGTCGTAATACCTTTGGAGAGATTGCAAGATCATCAGTAATAATTAAATGCATTTTAGTTACATTTAAAAGTTCATTAGAATATATTTCAATGTGATTCATCTTTCATTGCCAATATTTTTAATAATATTAAGCAAGAAAACAATTTTACGATAATAAGTAGATGTGGTCAAAGATACAAAAGAAAATTATTATTCACTTAACTATACTGTGGAAATCGACGACATTAATATATCGAAACAATGAAACAAACATTTCCGAAAGACGCTATTTTTGTCGACTGTATTTTTCATATGAAGTCCAGGTAATAGCCAAACAAGTGAGTAAATGTAACTAATATTTTTTGTACATATGTCGTGCCTGCTATATTTACCTCAAGAATAAAAAAGATAAAAAATCAAAATATTTAATTTGTTAAAAGTAAATTTTTCGTGGTAAATGTGTAAATGAGACAAATAAGGCAAAGGATGCCAAAGCATAATAGGATCATAAATGCTGAAAAATATTTTCTAAAAATAACGTAATTTATTTTAAAAAAAAGATAAAGAAAGATTTAGTGATGAGACGACGTTAAGAAATTTTGATGTTGAAGGAAAAACTAATCACAAGTTGTACCAATGATAGATTTTTGTTTAGTTATCGAAAAAAAGCATATAAAGGAAAAGATTACCAAACAGGCTTTAAAAGTAAAACAGAAATATATAAGATTAATGCAAGAAAATAATTATAACAATGCTCTCATTAAAAAATGTAGTAGAAACAAATTGTGCGTATAAAGGTACCGAAGTTTCGATTCTGAATGTCCAGTTACGCGAATCGAACACACAACAGGCAGGCAGTGTACCGTAACAGTCGATGGCCTCACTTCAACACGAGCGTAATATAATTAAAAAGGCGACCGAAGATCGTTTAAAGGAGCGCGCTATTCGGCGCGGCCCCATCTCGTTAGCGCCGGAAAGGCAGGGGGTGCGTGCGGCCCGCAATTATCGCCCTCCCTCATCCGCGTAATTCACTTATGCTGTTGGACGCATCTCCAGCACGCGCCTCCCCCCCCCCGCGCGGGCCATTCACGCAGCTTCAGCCACTCGAGGCGGCTCCGTCTTCACGCAAAACAACCAGTGAACGCCAGCAACCTATTGCCAACATTGAATTCAATTGAATTGAATTGACTTTGCCTTATTTTACGTGGCGAGACTCGGGCCATCAGGCCCGCTCTTCCGTCTGAACACGCAAATTTCGCTACACTCCTTTCATCAACTAACAGAGAAAGGAGGTATTTCTTGGGCAAGAAACAGGCGATTTTGAAGTTTGCTCAGAGGCGTCATTTAGGCTTGAGGATCTTTTATATTGGAAAATCTAGTTTTAGTGAAGGTAAAATAAGCATCACACAATAGGTTTCATTTAATGATTGCATTTATCTCATAATTCCTGACATGAATATATTAATATATTACACGATTATTTGATATTTTAGTTTTAATGCGGATATCAAAGGTCGGAAATCACTCTTGAAAATGAATGGCGCTATATAATAAAAGTGGTTTGTTTTATATTCTCGAGCATTTCTTTAACCGCGGAGAGAGTTTACAATAAAGTGATACAAGTTATTGACAGCGGATACAAGTTATTTAGAACATCTAATTGAAACGTTTTGAACGAAAATAACATAACAAAATTAATGTTTAAAGAAAATGTCTAAAGCAAATTACGTTTACAAAGAACATTGGAATATATACAATTGAAAGCCCGATTTAGGTGAAGAAAAACATCAAGCTTTTTTTCAAAGTGAAAATTTATCAAACATAGATCTCTCAAATCGGACATCTTTTCTCTTCTGAACAAGCTTTCTCTCTCTTTAGATTTAGGATACTTGATTTCTATTAAATATTTTTCAAAATACATTTTTACGAACAGTTTAATTTAAGAGTGATGTTTGCAGAATTAAAGATGAAGTGCATGTGCGTGCCAGAATGAGCCTGAGATGCTATCGCCGGAAATCCACTCGTGCCGTCATTCCGGAGACTGTGAAGTCGCTGTTCTCAGAAATGATTTCTGAATCCAGCAAGACGTTACGTCGCGTTGACGTCATTAGATTCGATGAAAAAATGAAAAAATCTACAGAGATACAAACAAGCGAGAAGTTAACTGAACGTTGGATGGAAAAGTTATTTTGTTCTTATTTCTCGGATAGTACAACTTTTTCTTTTTTCTCTCTCGAATAATTGTAATTAATTTAATATATAAGTCACACTAACCATTCTTATAATACATTTTCACGGTGCATAATTTGATTTAATGCATGTAGTTATTCTTCTTGTACGTTTAAGTGAAAGGAGCATAACGTCCTTAAAACTAAGCCAGTGCAAAGACGAGGTGAATTACTTGTATATCTCTTGTATGCATTTTGGTTCGAAAAACATCCCTCACAGTCGACCCTTGGTGTGTTGCATCTTACCTAACCGCGACCTTTCGGGGGCTCGTGAGGTTAGTCACTCTCCTTCGCAGGATGTATTGTGGAACGCAGCCAGGAAGCGTCGTTGTCTGTGGTCAGACCCCCCGAAGTCCGGCAACTTGGCGCTGAGATACGGAACGCGGCTGGCGACGCCATGACGTGTGGAGGACGAAAAAACATCAAACGAAACTAAAGCCTTTCTTTTTATTTTATCCATTTCGATAATTCGCGCCAGAACCTTTAAAATATGTTAGACCCCAATGCCCTATTCTGGCGAATTCGCAAATTAACTAGTGAATGGTTCACATTATCAAAGAGAGTAGATACAGTCCGAAGTAGGTATGCTTCGAAACATCCTTGAGCGAGGCTTAGTGGGACGAAGCGTAATTATATAGCCTTGATAGGTAGATGAATTATGTTACTTCATCCGTAATAGGTGGAATAGCAGTATTTCGTGGATAAACATAAATTAACTTCTAGTGGGAACTTCTAAGGCTAGTAGGGTCATGTGTTTAGTTGCGAGTAAACTCGAGTCAGTTATAAATTTCTATTTGCACGGTATATTCCTTGTCTAACGTCACTATATTCTTCAGCTGACGCTCTCTCATCATTTACAAGACAGGACCAATGAGACCTCGGTCTTCGGCCTCCGCAATTTACACAAAACAACCTTGAAAGAGTGCATTACTCTCTCCAACAATTTCCAAATCAATGTTTATTAACATATTCTCGGAAACACACAGATGCCTCACACCCAGGCAAACATCTTACTGTAGTCACAGGTCTTCTTGCTAAAGACAAACATTAGCCGGATGATGTCCAAAATGAT